TGAATCGACGGAGGATCGAACCCACGACCTCCCGCATCCGAGGCGGATGCTCTAATCACTAGGCCACCGGAGCGGTTTTTATAATAGAGCGCCCGGTCACTGTTTAAATCGTTGCAAGTTTGATGATATTTCTTAATGGCTCTAAAATATTTTTTTCCGTTGCTGGTATTGTATCCAACTATGATATGTTTTTTTTTTTTACCATTGAATCCAAGCATCTGCGAATGAATACTCTTGTTTCTTGATACCAGATGATGTTTTTGAGGTAATACTAACAAATATGGGCTGCAGAACTTTTACCTTAATATTTACGTTCGTCCCATTAAAGTGTCGACCCTTTTACCCGGAACAATTTTAACAACATTATTTCCTTTTCCATATAAACTGTTGGTCAATTTTCCATTACAACTGTAACATTACATTTTTCCTTTGTTACACTTTTATCCCTACAATACTTTTCTTATGTTAGACCTACGGGCCATTTTAACGTAGGGTTTTCCTTAGCCCCCAAGAGGGGGCTAAGGAAAAAAATTGGGTATACCGGAGGAAGGTCGTTCTGGGAAATCTGCAAGCACGTGCCAGCGTTTTGGTCTCGGTTTATGTATTTCATCTGCCAATTATCCACACGCCTGACTTGATTGCTTTGAAAGTCGAGTCAAAGGTCTTGAGTTTGTTCTTAGTGACTGTTTAACTTCAGAGAGATCGTTTTTAACTGGTAGTTTTGAAAATATCATGTAATTCTTTTAGCTTCAATATCGTTTACTGCCCGTTTACTGCCCCGCGTCCACTGCAATGCAAAGTGGGTGGGTGGTGGTGGTGATGATGGTGGTAGAGTGACCCCGTCAAAAAGGGTTCAAAAGTCCCACGTTTCTAATAGGGATAGAGAGCGATCCCATTTCTGAATTGAGTCAGGGGGTGTTGGAGGGATCAAACATTTGAATTTAAGCCACTACACTTAAGCAAAATTAATAAATGATTATTATTGGGCAAAATGTCTTACATACAGCGACTTATGTAGGGGATAAATCTTTCCTCCAAAAACTGAAACTATTTAAAAAAATGTTAATAAACCAAAGTGTTAGGCATACATAACTTATTTTGATAAATTTTTAATTTAACAAAGGTTAAATTCTTTGCGAGGGGGGGGGTGTCAATTTTAAAAATTGCAATAAAAGGTGCAAAAATTATATTCGAAGTACTATTGGGATGACATTATTTGCTGAGACATTTTTGAAATTAAAGATTTCTTCCTAGATGGTTATAAATTCAAATAAAATGTGTCCGATTTTCATGAAACATTTTAAGTAGAAAGGCTATTTTATATTTATAATTGTGTCGTCACATTTACTTCAATGTATTTAATATGTTTTATGCTAACTAAATGCCCCTTTTTGTTTACTTTCGGTGCAGTAAATCAATGATTTTTTAATGCTAAGATCCAGGTGCTGAATACGTCTTACAAAACTACAGGTAATACAGGTTATTATTCTTAATGGGTTTTGCATATTTGTCAAGTGTTGATTTCCTTTAGATGGTAAAAGAAACATAGTTAAACAGGTGAACCCGACATAACTGTCAGTAAATGGAAACTCTATCTCGTCTCAGGCTTGAAACTTATTCTGCATCGTCCAATATGACTTTTTATATATTCATATAGGGTAAAACAGTTTTGCAGGGTGTCAAAAAAAGTTTACACGGTGTCAAAAAACAGTTTACAGGGTTTAAAAAATATGATCTATCGCAACGCTTCAAGTCACCCTAAATTTTCCGTTCTTATAATTAGCTTATATGTTGTCTAACCTCTATGTGGGTACAGCTGGAACTGAATTGAATTTAAGGACGGCGGGTAAATTATGAGTAACAATTTTTTACTTGTAGCCTTCAATTCATGAACAAGTTTGGCAAATACTGAAAAAGAACTTTTGTATTCTTGAGTAAATAAAAGATTTATCTTGTGCACAACACGATGAATAATAAACCAGTACTAACTTAAGAATTACTGGTGCCCGTCTATAGGAGCAAAGATAATTTCACCTCTAAATATGTTTTGTTCAATATCAGTAAAACTAAATAGATGGCAACTACAGGCTTGCCACCCCACAAACAATTATGCGTGCGCACCTGGTAAGATTAGAAAATACCTGGTGTATAAATGAGCGATATGGCCACTGGGACATTATGGTTTCGTATTCTAGTCTCGTATCCTGTGATAACAAGCCAGAAGGAGATAAGTCTAGTGTATATATATATATATATATATATATATATATATATATATATATATATATATATATATATATATATATATATATATATATATATATATAGTCTTCACTCTTTCTTTATGTTACTTTGAACGAGCCGATACTTAACATAAATAAATTCGTCGCTCGTCCTTTGGGATATTTGAAATTGGCTAAAATTTTATATTTAAATTCCCCCTAGTTAATTTTGTTTTGAAATTTTTATGGAAAACAACAGGTTTTCTGCATTAAAAATGTCAAGAGTGGAGGGTTTTCTTTCTACTCCAACTAAAGAACAGTTGGATAATTTTAAGAAGGATGAATTGCTTGAACTTGCCAGAAAGTGTGAATTTTCTGAAACAAAATCTTCCTTAAACAAACAATAAAAATCAAGAAAATTATAGTTCAACATTTGATAGAAAAGAATGTCTTTGACAAAAGTGCTGTGGCATCTGTCAGTAAGACTTAAACCGATGCTGACGTTAAAATGGCAGAACTAAAATTGAAATATAAATTTGAGTTTCAAAGAGATTAAATGAAATATCAGTTAGAAAAGAAAGGCAAATTAATTTGAGTTTCAAAAAGAACAGATGAGATTACAATCTGTAAAAGAAGAAAAAGAGAGACAGAAAGAGAGAATGAAAAGGAAAGACAAAACAATTACAAAAAGAACAACTTGAACTTAAAAAAGAAGAAATGAGATTACAATTTCAAGAAAGGGAAAAGCAAAGACAAATTGAAGAAAGGGAAAAACAAAGACAAATTGAAGAAAGGGAAAAGGATAGGCAAGTAGAATTACAAAAGGAACAAATGAAATTAGAAGAAAGGGAGAGAGACAGCGGCAAAAAGAAAGGGAAGAAAAATAATATCAAATTAAAATGAAAGAATTGGATCTGGTATATTACAGGCATGATTCCACATCTCGAAGTTTAATATTTTAGGAAATATCAATTAGTTCCCCTCTTTAGTGAAAAGGAAGTAGACAAATATTTTTTTCTTTTTGTAAAGGGAGCTGAGAATTCAAAATATCCGAGAGAGTGTTGGACTCGATTATTGCAGAGTGTACTTTATGGCAAGGTCAGAAATATTTATATATCTCTGACAGTAGAACAAAGTTCAAATTACGATTTGGTTAAGGAATGCATCTTGATATAAAAAAACACCCTGAAGATCACGTGGTCAAAATCTTGGAAAATGGCTGCTGATAAGTATACCTTAACTCATAAAGTTCTTGCTGTAAACAAATCTTTCACTCAACAGTCTACTGATAGAATGGTATTTCAAACAAATACGACTCTCAGTAAAACTCAGTCTGGCACAAATTCTAAAAATCAAGCATCTGAGAGAGTTGATTTGAAGTTATTGTCTCTACCTACGTCTACTTATTGTAAGAAAAAAGGAAACGTCATTTCCGTGTGCTTCAAATTGAAATATCGGCATCAGAATCAAGACAGGCCTATCCCATATGCTCTTATTCCTAAAAAGTCGAGGCCAAGGTCAAGGTCATGTATTGAAAACAATGCATTTGTTGGGTTTGATAAACCTCAGTCTGATTGTGTTTTGGAGAATTTTGAACCATTCATGTCGATGGGTTCTATATCACTCTTGGGAGATTTGACCAATCCTATCCCTATTAAAATTTTGAGCTGTACAGGAGCTTCTCAGAGTCTTTTAGTTTCAGTTTCTTCTGAGAAGACCTGTTCTAATGAGAATGTTCTTATTCAGGGAGTAGAGTGCGGATTGTTAATGTTCCTCTCCATTCTGTTAAATTGTCATCAGACTTAGTAAAAATCAGAGGCTGTTGAGATGTAGTTTATTTTTACAAGAACACAATCTTGATATCAGGATAAAAGGAAAGGATAATTTAATTGCAGATGCACTTTCTCGTGTGTAGAAATGTCATCTTCATAAATTCATAAGAGTTCCTCTTATGTATGTTTTTTACCTTATGTAGAATTTACATTTGGAATGAAAACAAAAGTTTTATTATATAAATCTTTTTTTTCTTTATGGGGGAAGGTGTTACGACCATATAGTTGACGTGCGTGTGTTAAAAAATCAATTCTGTAGAAATCTTTTTATTTCATCTTTATTTCAATACATGTGATAATCAATATCATTATATTAATATCAGTCTACTATGTTATTAAAAACATAGTGTTTTCTTGAGTCTTAAATGTGACTCATGTGAGCACGTGCTGTGTACGATGGCAAATTCATTACAAGTAAACATTCAGGAATAGCTATGAAAACGATTGGCTGATACATGATCAGGCTTTCGTAATGTCCAGATGTATTGTCAAATCGCATGTGTCATCCATGCGTGTGCAGTTTAAACGACATATTAGCTTCCTTTATATGTTGAGGTATTTTGTAAGATGTTATGAGCTATTCACAGTTAGAGTCGTAGTTTATTGTAACATCTTAGAGTTACACAACTTCTATAACTTTTAAAAAGGTATTTTTGTGCTAGAAGTAGTTGTCTGTCTGTATGTCTACGTAGAACCACATTTATCTTGTTAGTTGACCTAATTTTATGTCGTTTTACTGAATAATTGTTTTCCTGGAGAACATCATTACTGATTTGGACAAAGACATTTTCCGAAAATATTCCAAATCGGAACGGAATAATACAAACTGTGCTTTACTATGTAAATTATGGATTTTTCTGTTAGCCTTCGTCTGACGTCATCATCCACCATTTTGGACCAGAACTGAACTGTGTTTGGAACTTTTTACAGCACTAATGTTTAGCTTTAGAACAAACAATTTGGCTCATTTCCCTCAATCGTAATTCTTGTTTTACATATTTACATTTTTTTCATGTTTT